GATAGCCGGGAGGGTGAGAGAGAGCGTAGGTTACGTCGAAAAGTGACATGTGTAGGGGTATGTGTTGTGTCAGGAACCATGTTGAGGTTAAGAGTGAGGAGGAAGTGATCCGAGGTGTGCAATGGAGTAATGAGCACATGATCAGTGGAGCAATGTCGTGTTTAAATAAGGTCTAGTTGGTTGCCTGATTTGTGAGTAGCCGTAGTTTGCAGGTGTAGCATTTTCCTCTGGTTTGACGTCTGACGTCTCTGTCAGGGCCATGAGGTTTAGTCTCAAATGACTTGTAATAGAAGTAATACAATCTGCTTTTGTTTGCATGCGCAACCAAAATAAAAAATGCACTGTGTAAATAAATTCTAACAGCGCATATGCGTTTGGTTGACATCTGTTAATGACCAATTACCATTTTAGATCGACAAACTGTAATACTGTATAAGATTTCTATTCAAACTGAATAGATAAATAAATATAGGCTACCCGCTGCCGTTTTCAAAGCACAATGCAAAACTGACATTTCATTCACTGATGCGCATCAGTCGGCAACTCTAAACCTGGAAGCACATAAACTTACTTTACTTAAAAAGAAGTAAATATTAGCATTTTATTTTTAAGTTTACTATAAAATAGTTGTATTTGTATTTAATACTCCTTTTTTATTTGAAAATATAATAGTATTATCACACTTTATTATTTAATTATTTTATTAAAAAAACTAAATAAATAAAGTGCAACTATATTAACTATATACATTTTTTTTTATAGTTGTATTTAATGGGTTACACTATGTGCAGTGTGAGGACCAAACCAAATCTCCAGGTTCTCTTATAAGAACCAGGCTGAAAAACTTAAGTGCACCCATATATATAAAACCACCATTTGAGAACTACTGCTCCAAAAATAAAGGATGTAAAAGGTAGTAGGACACTCTTTGTACCTTGGGTTCCTGTGGGTCCTTGGATTCCTGGAGGTCCGGGGTCACCAAAAGTTCCAGGAGATCCAGCTGCACCAACAGGACCAAGTCTACCCACTGGCCCTCTGAGTCCTTTGGGACCTAGAGAAATTTCAGAGGAATTGAAATTGGAGTTAAAAGATAAATAATTGATCAGACTTTCAGTTTCATATCTCTTACTTTTTTCTTACCTTCTGCAAAGAAAATAAAAAAACACTCACCTGGGACTCCTGGACTGCCTGGCAGGCCTGGAATTCCTGCCTGACCAAAAGACCCATCAAGACCTGGTGGGCCCCGTTCCCCAAACAGCATACTGCTGGTTATGTTACGTGGGAACACAACACCTGGAAGTCCCTTAAGACCGGGAAAACCTGAGAGGACAATAAGCAAAACTGATGTTTCAAGAATGCTCGTGATTTATTACTATTAGCTAAATTTTTAAATATACAAAATGCCTACTGACCCTTTAATCCTTTGGGTCCATTCCTGCCAAAATCTCCTGGTTCTCCAGGTAACCCTGGTGGTCCATGTACACCACTAAATCCAGGGTCACCTCTTTGTCCTTGTAAATCCAGAGAGCACAAAAATGAATAAACTCCAATGAATAAACTATTGAAGTACAGTTAAAGAGACAGAAAAATATTAAAGCAATAGAAAAAAACACCTTTAAAACCAGGACTGCCTTGTAATCCAGGGGCTCCAAAACCACCGGGGTCTCCACGTGGTCCTTGTATTCCTGGCCGCCCAGGAAGTCCAGCATCTCCCCTGTCTCCTTGGACTGTTCCAGGGCCTGGTGGACCAGGTAGGCCAGGAGGGCCAAAGGGACCTACAAATGATCCAGTTCAACTGATTTCACTGTATCACAAGAACTATGAGCAACTGCTATTACAAAAGGTGAAGTTCACGCTCAAAGAGAAACAGATCTACAAGGAATGATCATTGCTAGCCCTCTACATCAAGCATCTTTTTGTTATATTAGAAAGGATCAGTTCTATCTTAGAGAAGCAATACAAGTAATGAGAAGAGAGATGTCCTGTACCTTCTCGTCCATCTAATCCTGGAAGTCCAGGGTCTCCGGGAGGACCTGGGATATTAGAAGGTCTAGGCGGGCCAGGGGGGCCTGGATTACCAGGGAAGCCTCTCAAACCAGTGGCACCTGAAAACATTAAATACATGTATGAAAATAAAAGAGAAACAAAGCTGGTCAGAGAAGCAATGACCCCATAATTGCTTGCTTTTTTGGTGTGATTCCCACTCTAATCTTTAAAGAGTGGTCCATACACAGAATTCTCCTCACCAGGGTCTCCTCTGGATCCTTTGTCTCCAGGGCGCCCAAGTGCTCCGGGCTGTGATGTGCCTCTCTCTCCCTTCAGGCCATTCCCACCAGGAGCTCCAGGCCGAACACCTTCAGTCACACCTGAGGACATAAGTTAAATAAATGAGCAGTCACTAGTTTGCACATGTTTAAAGCATAATGTAGAACCTTATAATCAAAGGTTCATCTGATTAATGTACCTGGAACTCCAGACAGCCCCTTGGATCCTGGAAGACCATTGAGTCCATCTAAACCAGGTGATCCTGGAAAACCTGAAGTAAGATTTAAGGCAGGGTATTTCAGAAATGGCAACATGCTGGTTTCTACTGGTTTGTAGAAAGATGAACGACTGCAGGTGCAAAACATGTTTTTAGCAATATCTAACAGTAAACTGGTACAAGTTCTTGTTTCACCTTTCTCTCCTGATGAACCTGGAGTTCCAGGACGGCCTGGATCTCCATCACGCCCCTTCTGTCCTGAATAACCAGGGAGACCCCCAATGCCTGGGAGGCCTGGTGAGCCTATAAACAAATACAACAATAAAATGAAATTGACATTAGGAAAGAAGAGAGCTGCTATTGTAAAATCTGAAATAATTTCAATAGAATCATAAGGGTGGCTCCAAACTTCCACATACCACCAAATCCTGGTCCACCCGGCTCTCCAGGAAAACCTTTCTGGCCTTGGAATCCGAAGACTCCTGGGAACCCTGGATCACCTGGTTCACCAGGAAGTCCTGGACCACCTAGTTATGAAAGACAAAAGACAAAAATCTATTTACAAAATCATACTGGAATATACATTACAAAATGAAATACAGTACAAAAAAATAGAAGAGTTTATAAGACATATACATACTAAGAGCCTGAAAAAGTGTCTTTCTCACCTGGGAATCCAGGATTTCCAATCACACCCTTTTGTCCAGGGGGTCCAGATAATTCATATGAATCACCTTTCTCACCTTAAAGACAATGTTTAGGGACATCACCCTACTATTCAACTACTTGCATTTGCCATACGTAGTGTAGGTCAGAAATAAGGAACATAATTATTATTATTATACTTGGCATTGACAGAATTACAGAGATCTCACCTTTGCCACCAGGCTGTCCTGGAGTGCCTGGGAACCCTTGAACCCCAGGTACACCATCATCACCCTGCAGTGGAGGACAACACAAAAAGTAAAAGACAATGTATCTTTCTGTGCATAAAACATTTTGACAAGTACAAGTATGAGACTCTGAGACCATATTAGACCCGGTGCCAGTAACAGTATTAGTACTGCTAGTGCATAGTAAACTTTTTTACATAATTATACTTGTGGCCTGAATACAGGATGCTTACCCTCAGGCCTGGTAAGCCAGGGAAGCCCATAACTCCAGATGAACCTTTGGGTCCAGGAAAGCCAAAGGAGCCAGGAATACCTGGGAGTCCAGGCTGGCCAGGAAAACCTTTTGCTTGGTCTGCAACACCAGGTGATCCAGGAAAGCCTTCACGTCCAGGTAGCCCTGGAAAACCCTTATCACCTGTTAAAAAGAGAAAAAACATTTTGTTTTTATTTCATTTTGATTTTAATGACTGAATGACTGGTCTTTAGTGTCATTACAATCCCACACTTTTATCACAAGCTGAAAAAATAACTTTGCTTGTCATTAAAGATTCCATTGAATGACTCTACATAACAGCTCAACATCACAGGTCCATGAACACCTCTATGCCACTAAACAGCATGAATTCATCATTAGAAATGAAGGAACTGAGGTCTAATTGGATGGTCTGTCCACTTTTTGTACCTCTTGGTCCTGTGAAACCAGGCAGTCCACCACCTCCTGGGTCACCTTTTTCACCCTTTTCCAGCCGCTCTACTGGAAACAATGGAGAAGAGGGTCCTGGAAGACCAGGAGCACCACGTTCCCCTTTAAAACACAAACATATATCCATTAAATTAGTATGCACTATATTACTGCAGTGCATTTTAAAATGTAATTACAATAAACTATTTTATATCTTGCTTCTTTCTGAAGTTCTAAATTCTTTTTTGAGTGCCTTCTATGGTTTCACTTAACTACAAAAAAATAAATCCAACAATGAAATGTCCTGCAAATGCCATCAATATACCTTTGGTTCCTCTTGATCCAGTTCCCCCAAGTAAGCCATCCTGCCCAGCGAAACCAGGTAAACCTTTAACACCTGGGCCACCTGGGACTCCAGGAGAACCAGGTAATCCTGGGAACCCCAACAATCCAAGAGACCCCTTCTCCCCTTGAACACAGACAACAAAATATCTACATTATGATAATTAAAAGTAAAATGTGCTCATTAGACTATTTTATGCTATTTGAAACAATCTCCGAGATGCTTGTTTGATGTCTTTGTAATAAAGCACAGCATAACAAATTTAAATAGTGTGGTTTTAGAGATAGTAGAAGCATGTTAAAATGACTCCAGAAATGAATCTAAAGTAGTTTCTATCAGTAATACAACTCAAGAAAGTCAAATCAATTTAAAATAAGCTCTTTCTGCAATATCATACCTTTTATTCCTGGTCTTCCAGGTATGCCTGGACGTGTTCCAATGCCAGGCGGTCCAGGAGGTCCCCTAAATCCCTGTGACCCTGGGATGCCGGGAAGTCCTGGTATACCCTTTATTCCACCAGGCCCTGGAGGTCCTGGATCTCCTCTCACACCCTTCAGCCCTGGAAAACCTGTGGAGGAAAAAATAGTTAAAAATATAGGAATTGGCTCTGAAAGTGCCTAGAAATTACTTGGATTTCACTGAAATAAATTCCATTAAGATTTTTATATGAGATAGTACATAAGCTCACAATACTGAACATGTGAACACACTTACCCACTAAAGAAATACTTTAAAAACAGTATGCAGTGCTTTGAACAAAGGTAATTAATGAAAAAACAAAACAAAACATATGTTAATGAACGCAACGCTGTTCATTAACAAATTACTAAAAGATGTAGTAAACGTTCTGGATGAACAACATATTTCACAATTTGTGGTAAGGTCAGTTCAAAGTAAAGGCTAAATCTAGACTGAATGTACAAGCAGTTGGAACATGAAATATTACTTTCATGACTAACTAAAGTTGACATTACCAACTAAAGATGCTGCTGTTTTACCAGGAGGTGGGTTTGTTGTTAAAGGCACACAAGCACAGCAGGGTTAGAGCAAGTTCTGAGGCTAGATTGTTAGATTAGAAGCTAGATTGCTCAAATCCATTGAACCTGAGGATTAGTACTTAAGCACACAAGTTTAGGTAATCTTTTACGTTTGAGTGTTCTATGTGCTGCCTGCTTCATGGTACACAAACACACAAAAAGATGGAGAAATACAGTTTAAACCACTCCAGTGACAAAATACCATGGATGAACTCTTTTCAAAATATGGTCAATCCAAGAAATTACAAATTAACATTTTGCAGATTCAAATAAACATGAATTCTGCATTGTCAACATGAACAAATCACTCTATTAGTTTGAAATAGATGCCTAGAAGGGAGAGTACACCCAACAAATGAAAATTCTGCCATCATTTACCTTCATAAGCCTCTTTTCATCTTTGAAACACAAATGAAGATATTTTTAATGAAACCTGAGTGATTTATGTCCCTTTGGTAAAAGCCTCTTACACCAAATCTTTGACAGTTCAAAAGGTTCATAAAGACATTGTAAAGGCAATCCATATAAAACAATATATAAATACAATAATTTAATTCTGTTCAAGTATAAAAGCATATAAAGTTATCGTGTCTCTACAGAAGATTTGGATTAAACCTACGTTTTGGTGGAATGGACATTTAATGGAAGGACAGAAATCTGTCAGGTTTGACCAAAAAAAAAAATGTGAGTAAATGATGACAATTTTCATTTTAGGGTGAAAAAAATACATGCTCCCCAGCACTCAGTGCTTTAAATAAGAGGACTGGAAACACAAGTAAAGACAAGTGCATTAAGAGGAAGCATTGCAAGAGTGTGAATTGTGTGTTAGAGGAACATCAGCACTAAATCAGGGCATCAGGGAGGACAATATTTCTCACCTTGGCAGCCTAGTGAGGTGACCCACCAAAAATAGAAGAGGGTGACACCACAAATGGAAGGACGGGAGGGTGGAAATGATGGTGATGGAAAAAGAGAAGAAGGGGAGGATGACCATAGAGAAAAGAATAACGAAAACAGATATTTTTGTGAGGAAGATCAGTAAACACAGGCTGACGAAGACTGATGAGAAGAGAAAGATCCAGTGAAACATTTTAACGCAACTCAAATCTGCAGTAGTAAAAACATAATACTCACATGAAAGTTTAAAGAAAACCATAACAACTAGTGTTGTGCAAATAGACAATAGTATCGTGTATCAACGATAGTCAGAGATATTACTTGTGGCTGATGCCTTTGACGATAGTGAGATAATTATTATTATTGTCAGGCTAGTATTATTAACTAATTAATATTATGGTTTATTTGTTCCATCATATTTCTTTTTCTGCATTTTTACATTATAACCAATCACACACGATTCCGTTGAGTTTATGAATGCAGTGGTCAATCAGAGACATTCCGATGAGTCATCATTGAAACTCCAGAGTATTGTTGTTCAGTGCGCGCTCGCTGACTGATTTCTTCTCTCATCATAAAGAACAAAGTGCAGATGTATAAGAGATTTATTCATCATAAAGAGTAGTTAGCTTCACTGATTAAAATGGAAGTGTTTTTTAAAGTGCATAAACTCGCGCAAGACTGAAGTCAGTGATGATGTTCTTTGATAGGGATGAAACGATTACCGGTTTGATGATAAATCATGATAAAATGCCCCACGTTTAGTATTATCGTTTCATATTTTAATTATTATTAAAACCGTATTCGATTACCGCAATTTGATCAACTCAGGATAAATAAATACTATCCAGAATAAAGCAAAGTTTTAAGTGACAGTCTCAGGTACGCACGCAGAGTAGTTTCGTTTTGTGTGAAAACATGGCGGAAAATGCTGGGAGATTTTAAAGGGGTCATATGATGCGATTTAAATTTTTCCTTTCTCTTTGGAGTGTTACAAGCTCTTGGTGCATAAAGAAGATACATCAACTTCGCGCTGTGGATTGCCGGATCGGCTTTCACCGTGGATGAAGCAGAGTCCAGCCCGGGGTCGCCCCATGTGGTTGCCGCAAGCCCGCCGGACGCTCCTTTGCCGAATCCGCCGGCCGCGCCGTTCTCAAGCCCGCCTGCCTCCGCTCACTCTAGGCCGCCGCTCACTCTAGCCCGCCGCCCTCCGCTCACTCTTGGCCTCCGGCCTCCACTCACTCTAGCCCACCGTGAAGGGAATTATACAAATGAATATATGAATGAATTAATTATATGAATGTACCTCTGAATACGACGGCTTATTACGAGATTAAGATTACAAGAATAAAGTCATAATATTTTGAAAATAAATTTGAAATTACGAGAATAATGTCGTAGCAATACGAGAATAAAGTTGAAATATTTTGAGAATAAAGTCGATATTACGAGAATAAAGCATGTGTATCAATCATCTTTTCGATTATGATGAGACATTCGTTTCATTAAATTATAGGTCTACTGTTTCTTTTCATGCCTTCTGATGTTCCTTCATGTTTATATCATGCTATAACTTGTAATAAAGAGGAAAAACACATTTGTGATTTGTATTTCGTGATAAAACTGACAGAATATGAAAGCTGAGCTGTATTATATTAAAAGCAACAAAGCACAAAGCAATTATTGGGTGGCTGGCATGCTAAAAATAATGAATGGATTTGAAGACATATTTCCAATCATTTATTATACTATGAACAAAACAGCTTGTGAATAGTCACTTAACGTTATTTACCTCAGAAAAGACAACAATAACTTCAACGTTTATAACCTTTATAATGTTTTATTGCTGTTTTCAATTATATAATTGTGAGGAATGAAAGGTTGGGCGCCACAGATGTTTTTGGTGGAATTTACACAAAGAAAACTGTATAATTTAATGAAACAAATGTCTCATTGTAATGAAAAGATGATTGATTCACATGCCGCTTAAACTGAGGCGAATACATCGATCTGTTACGTCACATTAAAGAGTGTGAAAAACACATTATTGTGAGTATTTTGACATATTGACATATTGTTTGTATTTTGCTATAAAACTGAGAGAATTTGAAAGCTGAGATATTGTTTTATATTAAAAGAACCAAAAGCACAAAGCTTATATTATTGGGTGGCTGGCGCACTACAAATGAATGCATTCGAAAACGTGAAATATTATTTCCAAGCATACTGTCCCTGTGACTGTGAGTATATGACACATGGTATGATTTCAGCTAATAATCCCACATATATTCAAATCAGTTGCCAGGCCAGCAGAATTTCTCCCAGTGCTCGCAATCCAGGCAATTTGCTTGCGCAACATAGGCTATACTCTCAAAATATTATAACTTTAATCTTGTAATTGCTACGACTTAATTCTCGTCATTTTGACTTTATTCTCAAAATATTGACTCAATTCTCATCACTTTGACGTTATTCTAAAAATATTTTGACTTAATTCTCTTAATTTTTATTTATTCTCAAATTATTTTGACTTTATTCTCATTATTTGACTTTATTCTCAAAATATTTCGACTTTATTCTCGTAATTTTGACTTTATTCTCAAAATATTTCAACTTTATTCTCGTATTGCTACGACTTTATTCTAGTAATTTTGACTTTATTTGCAAAATATTTCAACTTTATTCTCGTATTGCTACGACTTTATTCTTGTAATTTTGACTTTTTTCTCAAAAAAACTCTTAAAGTGTTTAAAAATATCAATAATATTTTTACGTGCCACTAAAACGCTGTCGTATGTGAAGGTTCTTACTGTTTTCAGAAAAGATTCGATGGCATTTTGTTTTCAACTTCACTCCATGTAATATCTAATAAAGAAGTGTTCTTATTGCAATGCTTTGTCCACAAAGGTTACGGGAAACAGCTCTAATTCTGCTGTTCCATAAGTGCCACCTGCTGTCAGAGAGTGGATTTACAGAGTTACCTTTACATTCAGCCTGTCTGCAGTTTTTGTCTGTCCAAAAAATGGACTGAATTTGCATGCCCTGCTGTAAATTTTGACCAGTTGATGAAAAACAGGTTTATGTGGATTCTACCCTTTTAAACAATTTGGATAAGGTATCTAGAATTATTTATGGAGCAGATAAAACACATATAATCATTTATTAATCAGTTTTCATTCAATCATTTTGACAACCCTTTTCTTTATTTTTTTTTAGGTTTACCATTTTATGAAACTTTTTCAAAGCTTTATTTTTTTTTAGGTTTACCATTTTATGAAACTTTTTCAAAGCTTTATTTTTTTTTAGGTTTACCATTTTATGAAACTTTTTCAAAGCTTTATTTTTTTTTAGGTTTACCATTTTATGAAACTTTTTCAAAGCTTTATTTTTTTTTAGGTTTACCATTTTATGAAACTTTTTCAAAGCTTTATTTTAACATTTCGTACGTTATTAGATAAACTGTTGTCAGTCATGTTGTCATTTAAAATAATTGGTAATGTTATTGTTTTAGTGTTTATGCAAACAAAACGTAATTTTATTTGTTGATTTTAAATATAAAACTTGGTGAAACTATTTATGTGTCAGTACTTTTTGAAAATTTCCAGCACATTTGAACAATACCATAATACTGATAACCGTGATAATTTTGGTTACTATAACCGTGATAAGAAATTTTCATACCGTTTCATCTCTTTTCTTTGATAATGTAAATATTCTTTGCTCGTTTTCTGTTGCAGATGTTTGAATAACTGAGGAAAACGTAAGCATTATAATTAGTAACTTACAATGTTTCTATTAAATTGTTATCCTGTTAAATACAAATTCATTCATATTAAAAATATTTTATGACATGACATCCATACGCTACTTGACCAAAAAGATATAATGTGTAGTTAATAGATTACACTAACATTAGGCTGCTTTTAGCCTTACCCTGGAGTTGGTTCACTCTCCGTCTATGAATCTAAGCAAGTAAATAATTAAATAAATTAGCATGATAATATCGTGTATCGCGATCTCACAGGCTGACGATAGGACGATATGACTATAGAGGATATCGCCCAATACTAATAACTACCCAGGTTATTAATGGTGAATAAAATAGATTGTAGAAAAGATGCATCATGACAAAGTCTTAGAAGTTGAGTAGATCTGCCAAAAATTTTAATGTGAAAGGTCTTACTGACAAAATTGCTTACTGCAGAGCTCAAGGTAGAGTTTACCCTAGTATATGTATCTGAGAAGCTCTTGTTGAACAAATACTCACTCATAATATTAGATAAACCACCTAAATTGATTTGATTTGGTTACCTGGAGGTCCATCAAATCCCTTAGCTCCAGGTGGCCCTCTGGGCCCAGAAACACCCCCGGGAGGGATTTCTCCTGGTGGACCTATGGGACCTATGGGACCAGGTATTCCATCCACACCTCGTTCTCCCTTTATGCCAGGAAAACCGTTGCGTCCATCATTACCTAAGGAGGAATCCATTAGTGCTAATGCTTGATATCTAGCATGACTTACAATGTCTAACATGGCTGGGGCTAATGATGTTGGCAGTAGATTTGAAAAAACTAGTGAAAACATCTCATCTAACTTACCAAGCCTCCCTGATAAACCAGGTGCACCAGGTTGACCCTTGTCTCCTGGTTCTCCTGGTCTCCCTGGAGAACCTGGACCTCCAGGGGTGGCCCCAAGGACCACACCGGGTTCTCCCTTAGCTCCTGGCAAACCTGGAAAACCATATCTTCCTGGAGGCCCTTGTAAGCCAGCATTTGTTGTTCCTGGTAAACCTGGATCTCCTCTGGGTCCAGGGAAACCTAATCATAAGTTAGCCCATTTAAAAATGTGCAGTCACATTAGTGAAATTGCAGCGTAAAAGGGTTCATTGTCACTTTTCAGTAGCGTAGAGACGTAAGAAGCACTGCTTACACAGAAGTCAATTTCAAACTTCTGTTGCTCAACAAGGTGATTTTATGTTACCAACTTGAAAATGAGCAAAACTTGTATGGAGAAGTTTTTTGCCCTCCTGCGAAACTCCCAATCACAAGGATTCCTATTGGAATTACTGGATTTTGCATGCAAAATTCAACGGTAAATGTGACTGCACCTTAATACAATTTAATGCATTATAATGCAATTGGAATTATAGTTTTAAATTTATGGCAAGCCCAAACAAGCTGAGCAATTACGGTGTGTAAAATTTGTGGTTAGATGGAGCACCCATTCACATTTGAGGCCGTAATCTTACCCTGAGTTCCTGGCTGACCTCCAGAGCCTGGTTCTCCTCTCTCACCCTTTGGCCCATCAAACCCTGGGCGCCCGCTCACTCCTGGGGAACCAGGCTGACCCTTTGGCCCTAATTTTTATATACACACAAACATGCTAAAGAACACGTTAAAGCAATTTCAAGGTTAAATTACTCCTTATAGTTAAATTACAATTTTCGACTTTAATATACTTTTAGAAATTAAATTACCTGGCACCCCAGGATTTCCAAAGTATCCTGGATCTCCAAGTTCACCAGGAATCCTGCAGGGCAGTGGTGTTCCTGTTGACATCCATATCATTGTCAGTAACATATAAAAATAGTCAAAGATGGCCCATTCCACACACATTCCCTGCAACTAACCATGACAAACCAAGTGTTAAAAGATGGGTGTTTGTGTTAAGCTGGGGACACACTACACGACTAGTTGAAACATTCTAAGACTGAACTCAACACATTTAAAGACTGTTTCCATCGACTGGAGCAGATTATAATCTTTCACAGTCAGAGATGACATGTCATCTGACTCAGTCCACTACACAACACACTTAACGACTGGCACGTCACGACTGGACAAATTCTGCCAAACCAAAAAACAAACAAAGAAATAAACAAAAAAATGCAATATCTGATTCTACCCGCGCTCCTGCAGCCGCTCCCGCCCCACCAAAGACAACAAAGCGGACAACACCAGTGCTTATACTTACTGAAACGTTAAAGGTTAGTTTTTCATTTCTTAGTAAACATACACACTACACACTGACTAAAATTAAAAAAGTGAAAAAGCATAATAGGACCCCTTTAATAAAACAGAAAATATAGCTTTCCTGCAATGTAGGTGTTGCTAAAAAATGCCACAGCAATGTCTTGATTTTTTTCTTCTACATTAAGTCCTATGTTTCTCCTTCTTTTTTGAATTATTGTTTGAACAGACACATTTCGTTATGTCTTTTAAGACACCTGTTTAATTTCCTTAATTATAACATTTCTAGTGCTAATTTTAAACGTTTAGTCAAGCAATAATATATTCATTATCTCATGTTTGTCTGAAAGGGATTAAAAATTAATTGGTTCTGATTAAAAACGGTAGGCTATTTTTTCCCTACAGTTCCCGAGTTACCAGTTAGAACGAAATAAAACATTACTGCTCCATTTATTCAGAAACAAAAGTCATATAAAATGCTATTTGTGTATTTAAATTTGAATTATATTAGTCTACAGTAAACATTAAAGCTCCCAATGGCGCTGTCAACACTGCACTCCGACAGCTGACAGAAGAACTGCAGAGAAATTCATGGCATTGTAATTTCCTTATCCATTTGACACGAAACTATATAGGCCTATAATTAATCTATGCATATAAAATAATTTTATTTTGTGTCATGTTGGTGATTTTTTTATAAAATGTATGTAATTTCGTTATGTTCATATAATCGTTATGAACAAAATTCGTTAGGAAGAATAGCTTATTTGTTATGAAGTTGATTTAAAAATTCTTTATAAAAAAATTAAGAAAAAGTTAAAAGTTAAGAAAATAAAAGAATAACAAAGAAATTCTTGATAATATCTTTAAAATGAGAGAAATCACTGACATAATGTAGGCTATTTTGCTTTCTTCGACTGCAGAATTTTTTTACATGTGATGTTAACTTAAATGAAATAAAATAAAGACAAGAAATAAATCACAACAAGATGTGTAATCTAGAAAAATATTTGACAAAATTACAAAATGAACGCTGAATGACATTTGACAGTGAACGCATCTTCACTACATAGCGGCATATAGCTTACTGGCGACAGTCAAACTCGCAAATATTAAACACGTTTAAAAAAAATCTTTGTGAAAACAACTGGTTCTTGAATTCTAAGATTATAATCTTTAGACACCACACACTATGCGATTTTTCTGCCAACTGCAAACAGCGACTGAGCCCTGGCTGACTGGGCACGATCGCCATCAAGACCAAATTACATTCATAATCAGCATGATAACATAATCGTGTAGTGTGTTCTCTTCTTTAATTGTTAGTAAAAAATGTATCTGAATATCTAAGATCAGTAAATGTTGGCTGATAAGCAAAAGGACAGGAGGGAATATATTGTTGTAACTATGCAATTACATTGCAGTCCAGCATTATAATTTCATGAACTGTCCTGACAATGAGAATGATTCCAAAACCTGTATAAACTGAAACATAGGACCACATTTTAATGTGGTTGACGGGAGATCTGTCATATGCTGTCGATTACCACAGAAAATTTTCAGTTTTCCTCATATATCACTTTTTAATTCATAGTGTTCTAAATAAGCTTTACAGAAAATAATTTCAATTAATCCCATACTTTATAAAAACACATACAATACACATACAATGAAAATGCTTTTCAGAGGGTTTAAAGTAATGTGTAGTTTGTATTTTTATTAAAATGCAGTTCCACAAAAGCTGTTTGCATCGCACTCTTTTGTCACTTAATATTTTATTTTGGTGAGTCAATCTGTTAAATTACTTAGTATATAAAGCCAAGATCCGCACTCAACAAAAATAGTCTTCTTTTTGCGTTAATGTAAAATAAATTGCAAAAAGAAGACTATTTTTGTTGAGTGCGGATCATGGCTTTAAATATTTTTATTAAAGAAATATAGTTTGAGTGACGAATGGAGCGTAAGTGTAGTTCAGGCAGACCACGGCGTGACAGCCAGCATTACTACAATTAAATAAGATATACAAGTTACTCACACTTGCCTTAGTCTGTCTCACAGACAGGAGCTACTCCTTTCAATATCAAGGCACGCCTCTTCTGATTGATCTTAGAATTTAACATACTGCTTCATTGTGTTGGGGGTTTCAAACCTCAGTGAGGTTTGCTTGTGGACAGCTTAGAATCTGAACCCTTCAGAGCAAAGCCTGCCACCAAAATAATGTTCAGGACCTCAACAATAATCTTAATCAAACAGAGTGGTCCTGACTGAACTTATATTAATTAAAGTGGACTTGGATTTGTCCATCCATTGGTGTATGATGCAAAAGTGTTTATTAGCTTTACATGGCCATAACAGGACATATTGGAAATAATGCTAGTAAGTTTCTTATTGCTAAATTCTGAAAAAACAGAGGTGTTAATTATAGGACCTAAAAACTCCGCATGTAATAACCTAGAACACTGTCTAACACTTGATGGCTGCTCTGTTAATTCCTCGTCATCAGTTAGGAACCTATGTGTGCTATTTGATAGCAATCTTTCCTTTGAAAGCCACGTTTCTAGTATTTGTAAAACTGCATTTTTCCATCTAAAAAATATATCTAAATTACGACCTATGCTCTCAATGTCAAATGCAGAAACGTTAATTCATGCGTTCATGACCTCAGGGTTAGATTATTGTAATGCTCTATTGGGTGGTTGTTCTGCACGCTTAATAAACAAACTCCAGCTGGTCCAAAATGCAGCAGCTAGAGTTCTTACTAGAACCAGGAAGTATGGCCATATTAGCCCGGTTCTGTCAGCGGTGCACTGGCTCCCTATTAAACATTGTATAGATTTTAAAATCTTGCTTATTACTTATAAAGCCCTGAATGGTTTAGCACCTCAGTACTTGAGTGAGCTCTTAGGCTGCATTAATTAGGTCAACCAAAACCGGGAACACTTCCCATAACACCCGATGTACTTGTTACATTGTAAGAAGAATGGCATCTGCACTAATATTAGTCTGTTTCTTTCTTATTCTGAGGTCACCGTAGCCACCAGAATCCAGTCTGTATCCAGCCCAGATGGTGGATCAGCACCTAGAGAGGACCTCTACAGCCCTGAGACCCCAACCGCTCTCAGAATCTGAGGTCTTTTGTTTGGTGAATCATGTTGTCTGAGGGCTGTGGGGTGAATCCAGAGAAACGCTGCAGGGTTTCAGGTGTCCAGACACAGAATACAGTCTCATTGTAAGTATTATAGTGTGTGTGTGTGTGTGTGTGTGTGTGGATCCGTTACGCCATATGGACACTGTATGGAGGAAAACAGAGTATCTAACAGCACACTGAAATAAACTCACACTCCTAAAAATAAGAGTTCTTTATTGGCATTGACAGTTCCATGAAGAACTTTTAACATCCATTGGTTCTTTGTAGTGGAAAAAGCTTCTTTATGAAAATGTTCTTCACAGTAATAAAAATGGTTCTCTTAAACTGTTCAGTGAAAGGTTCTTTGAGGAATGGTTAAATGGCAAAAACTGTATGTTCATAACAGTCAGTCATTTCTTCTTTTTTTTCTTTTGAGTTCATGTTCTTTAGTTCTTTATGACATCAAATGCAATAATGGTTTCTGTCTGTCTCTGCATGAAGAGTGTTAATAATTAAACACTCATGCAGTGACTCACACACACACACACACTCTCTCTCTCTCTCTCTCTCTCTCTCTCACACACACACACACACACACACACACACACACACACTCTCTCTCTCTCTCTCTCTCTCTCTCTCACACACACACACACACACACACACACACACACACACTCTCTCTCTCTCTCTCTCTCTCTCTCTCACACACACACACACACACACACACACACACACACACTCTCTCTCTCTCTCTCTCTCTCTCTCTCACACACACACACACACAC